ATGGCGGCGGCGGTAGGGTATGAAGAAAGGCAGGGAGGGAGTAGGGAAGGACGGGAAGAAGAAGAAGAGGAGAGAGGAAGACCTAGCGAATGGGCCAGAAGAAGAAGAAGAAGAAGAGAGGTGAGTAGGGGAAGAAGAAGAAGATCAAGAAAGTTCGAGGAGAAAGATGAAAACGCGATGGGGAGGAGGGTAAGAAGAAGAAGATGAGAGGACGATGAGAAGAGAATAAGGAGGAGAAGAAGAAAATAATCGGAGAAGGAGGGGGAGGAGGATGGCCTTCCTTTTTGTTTGTTTTTCACCTGTCGTGTCTCACATGACCTACCGAATGTTGACGAACTAGAAGATGAAGAAGAAGAAGGAGAGGGAGAAGAAGAAGGAGAAGAAGAAGAAGAGGAGGAGAAAGAAAGCGAGTGGGGGAGAAGGGGAAGACGACGAAGAAGAAGAAAGATTGAGGAAGATGAAAATGCGAGGGGAACGAGGGGAAGACGAAGAAGACGAGAGGAGGAGGAGGAGAGAAGAAAAGAAGAAGAAGAAGAAGAAGAAGAAGAAGAAGAAGAAGAAGATGAGCCCAGAAGGGGGGGGTTAGGTCGACGGCTTGTTGTATCTCACGTGACCAAACACCCCAACACCTGCCTTAAACCACCACGAACACGGAGCGCCTCAACACTAGCAAAACGGTAAGGTGGAGAGGAGCCAGCAGAGGTCTCACTGAGGACCTGAAAAATGACAGAGGACACCCGACGAGAGGAGCCAGCAGATATCTCGTGGAGGGTCCGCAAAACATTCCCGAACTTTCCCTCTTGGACACCACTTAACCAGTTCCCTCCCAACCTATCTAAAATCTGTTAAGCTTGGCATTGTGGATCCCCGGAGCTCGTGGTGGTTTAAAAGCCCCCCTTCGCCTGCTATAAATTTTCAAAAATCCCGCAGGCCTACCGGGCCCGAGGGGACGATTTTTCGGGCCGGTCGGACCCGGTAGACCTGCGGGAGGCCAACAGCAGCGAAAAGGGGGTCCGAGACCCCCAGACAGGTGAGTGCGCTGGGGGGGCCGCCCCCCAACCGGGTGCCCTGCCCAGCCAGGCCTCCCGGGACCTCCCCCAGGCCCCCGCCAGTCAGCCGGGCGGCCCGGATCCCCACCCAGGTTATAGATAGATTTCATCCTTTGAAAAGAAGGGAGTGGTTGAGGTGGGTGGGGATTCCTTTTCAGCCGTCAAGAGGTAATGTTTACCCCAAAGGAACTATGAACGTTCAACATAGATTTTGTGAATGCAACACCATTGTAACTATGGATCAAACTCGACTCCTGTCATATCAAATAATTTGAGAGTGGGTTAGCTGGTGGCCGCAGGAAACTGAGAGATCAGGTCAGTATACCAAGCACTGTACTTCACCTCTGTGGTTGATCTGAGCACTCCTAATCTCCACGCCTCTTTCACGGAATAAAATGCCAGCTTTCGGACTTCTTGCATTTTCTCCCCCAAAAGGATTGGCACTGTGAGATATCTGACTTTGACACTGACAGGACTGTATATATCTATGTATTTGCAAGACGCATGCATGGAAAGTGGACACGTGGGGTGTATGCATGCACATCTGGATCCTGCACACTGAGCTCTGGCAGGATGTAAAGATAGTCCAATATCTGCATGTATGTATGCCTGTCGTGAGAAGGGTGCGGCAGTGCCCTCTTCTGTAAGCAATGGCAAGCAAGATCTCAACCCACGGTGATGTCCAGCACCCCCCCTCCTCCTGCACTCTTCCATGCCCAACCATGATGTTCAGTCGCTCTTCTTTCTGCATGTTGTTCTGCAATGCCCACCATATTGACAATCGGAAAATAAAACAGGACACAGGGCATGGCATATCCGCGAATGCTCAGGGAAGGATCTTTCAAGAGTTCACACAGGCCGATGCTAGTACACAGCGTACCCATGGAGGCACAGGGATTGGTTTGACCATATCGAAGCAGCTCTCGGAGCGCATGGGGGGTGACATGGACTTTTTCAGTGAGCTGGGAATTGGAACAACATTCTTTTTTAATGCATTGATGACCGTCGACACCTCAGGCCCGGAACCTTCCGCTATGGATATCGTTCATCGTGTGGCAACTGCGTTGGAGACAAGAGGAAGAGGAAGGACCAGCTATGTTGGTAGCAGCAACCTTGGTAAGGGGACACAGAACAAACAGGATGAAAGAGTAGTGATGGTTATTGTGGATCCAAAGCCTGTGCGAAGAGAAGTCGTTGATTCCCACTTCCGGTGGTTGAAGCTACGAACAGTAGGAGCAGAGGACATTCTGCAGGTGGAACCGGTCACTAAGACTGTGATTGAGAATGGTGCGCACCTGAACCCACCACGTGATCGTCAAGACATTATTGTGTTCATTGACGGGGAAGCGGTCTCAGCGGCTGAGGCACAAGCGGTAGATGTGAAAGACTTCTTGTCGAAGGTTGCAAAGAAGATGGCCTTAGGGTTGGTTTTGATGGTCAATGATCCAGACACGCCTTTGATTAACTGTCTCGCTGGGGTGGAAACCAGTTGCAAGAAGTTGTTAATGAAACCTGTTCGTGCAACGGCACTCGGTTCTGCTACCGTGGATTTGCTTCTTTCTGCCGCTGCTGGCCCTGCTGGTTCTCACGGGTCGGGTCACTCGGAGTCAGGGAGGACCATGTCAGTTGTTGGCTCCAAGTCAAGTGTACACAAGGACGCAAGTGCAGCAAACTTTGCAGGGAAAAAAGTATTGGTGGTGAGTACAATCATATGCTTTGTCATTTCAGGGCATGTCTTCTGCAGTGTCTCTTTTTCGCCGTTGCATTATCTGGTTCTTCCAAATGCACCCCCTCCATATG